ACCCTCAATGTAAAGAATTTCTTTCTTATATCTAACCTAAATCTGCCCTCTTTCAGTTTAAATCCGTTGCCCCTTGTCCTATCACTACACGCCCTTGTAAAAAGTCCCTCTCCAGCTTTCCTGTAGGCCCCCTTTAGGTACTGGAAAGCTGCTATAAGATCACCTCGGAGCCTTCTCTTCTCCAGGCTGAACAGCCCCAACTCTCTCAGCCTGTCTTCATAGCAGAGGTGCTCCAGCCCTCTGATCATCTTCGTGGCCCTCCTCTGGACTCGTTCCAGTAGCTCCATGTCCTTCATGTGTTGGGGACTCCAGAGCTGAACACAGTATTCCAGGTGGGGTCTCATGAGAGCCGAGTAGAGGGGCAGAATCACTTCCCTCGACCTGCTGGCCATGCTCCTTTTGATACAGCCCAGGATACGGTTGGCGTTCTGGGCTGCCAGTGCACATTGCCGGCTCATGTTGAGCTTCTCATCCACCAGCGCTCCCAAGTCCTTTTCCTCAGGGCTGCTCTCAATCCATTCTCCGCCCAGCCTGTACTTGTGCATAGGATTGCCCCGACCCACGTGCAGGACCTTGCACTTGGCCTTGTTGAACTTCATGAGGTTCATGAAGTTCAGTCATTCAACTCTACCCTGTCCTCCTAAGGAACCAGCACAAGAGAACCTCATACTAAGTATTTAACCACTCAAGATATTTCTACAGTGGAAGAAAAATGGGAGATGGTTTAATCTGGGAAAGGTTCATGTGTGCCCTCATGCAATATACAGGTACAAACAAAACAGTCAGCTGAAATATCTGGAAAACAAGTTTAAAAAGTACTTTGACTTGTTTTAGCTGGTTTTACTCACCTTTAAAGTCTCGTTGAGTACTTGTCTCAAGCTGTTGGGATTGTGCTACTGTCTTCAAGAGTTCCTGAATTACTACACGGTCATTGTTTCCTGCATCACTGTACCAGGAGTTTGAATAAAACTTGTTTTAAAACAACTTTATACTGCATATAAAATACACCCTCCTAAGCAACCCCTTGGTCAACTGACTAAACCAGAAAGTCAAGAGAATTCAGAACCTGCTGAGGTTAGAATTAAGCTCACCACACATACTTTGTTGAAAGTTACCTTCCCAATAATAAAGACAACCCAAAGCTTATGCAGGCACAGCTGGATTAGTAGCACTGCATGGAGAAGTAGTGAAACTGTTATCAAATGTTTTATTAACTCTTTAAAATAGAACTTTTTTTTTGGTGTGAGAAATCTAAACTATTGTTACTTGCAATTTGGACAAAGACATGTAATGTGAGTATTTTTACTCATTATGGGAAGAAAAAATAAAGTCTAACAAGATAATAGGATGCCTGACTGAAAACACTGATGTAAATGCACAGGTTTTTTTTCCCCTGAAAATTAGATGTCATGCTATGAACAACGTATACCATTAACAGAAACTTGAATGGCAGGCACAGTGAAGTTAAAGAGCTTTACTAGTGAAAGACTGATACTCAAATACTATTACAGCACAGATAGTTCACTTTTTTTCCTCTCAGAGGGCAGGAAAACATGGGGAAATACTTGATTTCCTTCTTGCCTCTTCTCCTTACTATCCCCTAGAGAAGCACTGCACAGCTTTCTCAGTCCCCAGGTTAGTAGCTCAGCTGGCTTGACTCAGATTTGACAGCCACTGGGGACTGACTTGCAAGCTAGATTATTGAAAAAGCAAAGAAAAAGAAGGGGAAAAACCCACACTCTTTAGCATTCCCAGACTATCGCCTTCACACAGGCAGCAGTAGCTCTGCAATATTTCACCAACAAGCAAATGAAAAAGGCCATTTGTCTGTTCTGTTCTAGTCACCACTCAACCAGACCTTCCCCTTTCTTGCCAAGGAGAAGGCAGCAGAACATAGAGAAGTGTATTAGCTCAACAGCTGACAATCTGCTGAACAGGCTACGCTGACTTGACTGCAGAGATCTGTCCTTCAGAAAGGGAACAGACCTGTGACTACAGCACAAAAAAAAACCAAACAAGCCAGTTCTACCTAGGAGCTAGGCCAGTTTTTGGAAATGGAAAGTGATTAACTTTCCTAACATCTAAAGTTAAATTATTCTCTGCAGTAATGGAGAACCCAGAGTTATAATTTCATGGTGAAAGATTATCCTTGATATTATGTGACCACACATGTTCCAGGAAAGCAACGAACAAAGGTAGTTACCACACAACCATTTAATTTTTGTTGTTCCTCATTCTTTCATTACCCACTCACTCAGGAGCACCCATTTTAAAGCATCTTCCCAAACCAGCCAAGGGACCAGCAGATAACACTTTGGAATTCAGACAATATCCTCCTTTTGGAGGAAAACCAGCTATATCTAATAAAGTTCCATAATAAATCTAATGTCTGCAAAGTCCATCCCACAAGTTAATTTCCTTTCCCTCTTAGCTATTTATCATGTTCCATGTCACTCAAGATGCATAACATGATTTCACAGTGTTATAATGCAATCAAACTTCACAGACTATAGCACAGCACATACACTTTCACTGTCTGGTCAGACATGAACATGGCAATTGCTTGATCGTTTAAAGCCTTTCAATCAATATACTAATTCTTAATCACAACTCAGCATTACTATTATATACAGCCACCAATGCAGCAGTTCAACACTTTCAGGACTTTTATATTCAAAGTAAAATACGACTATTTTACATGTTTCAAGCTGCAAGTACTCTACAAAGAGTAACAGAAGAATTATTAGTAGTATTAGGTTATCAGAGCAGAAGATTGAATGGTCAGACATTTTATATCACCAAAATGACATATTCAAACAGTTAATTACTAATAAAAGGCTCAGCTTTAATTATTTGGGTCTGTATTAGAGTATCAGTGGATATACACTAATTAATACACAGAGATTAGCTGCAGAACAAGCTTTTAAAAGAGACATGGTACTTGAGAACAGCTTCTAAAACGCAGAGCAATATGAGAAAAGGTTTAGCAAGAAGTACAAAGCTAAATGTTACTTCAGGATACACATTTTGTCTTATATTTGCCACTCAGACAACACAGCCAACATGACCAAAGCCTCTCAGTGCACAATGACATTTACTCTCGTGTGATTTAAAGTGACATTAAAGGGTTTCAGGTAAATACAAGTATTTACTTTGGGTCAGTGAACTATCACCAGTAATTTCACAACTGTCAAGGAAGACATACAGTACACCATTATAGCTCTTGTTGTTTAAATCAACATCTGACCTCGCTCATGACAGGATGCCCAGTATTTTGTGGTTGTGTTCTTTCCCATGCTCTAAATGCTTTATTTTAAGAGTTACTGGGTAAACCTCACCTACTTTCAAATCACTTTATTTTTGTGTTTGTGAGAGAACAAACAGTGTAAGGATGTCGGTTCCAATAAAAGTTCAAAACTTCAATTCAAATTGTTAAATCTCGGAATCCAGAATTGTTTGTTACCCAGTCCTGAACATCAGCATGCTTATGTGACTATTTAAGCAGAACATTGACATCTTTAGTATACAGCAATCCAAGTTTCATTTAGAGCTGTTCAATTAAAAATCCTCTTCCTGCTCCCATTTGCAGCCCAAACCTACAAACCATTATCTAATTTGCTCAGGCAATAAATTGGGTAATCAGGCCCTTACATACCCAGCTTGAAACCACTTGCACTATGACCAGTGGCTCATATTTGAAGTAGGACATTTTTACTGTACACTTACCTTGGGTTAACTTCAAGGTGATAATTACTTGCAATGGTGCTAATTTCAATTTTCTTTTTAGAAGGTGCCTATGTAGAAAGTACACATTTTAAACTTCAGAAAGAGTGTTCTGAACATCTGATGCAAAAATTTATCTTCAAGATCACAACTGGCTAGGTCACAGGCAAACCAGAAGTCTCAAAGAACTGCTGAGACACTAGACTTACACATCTCCTACCACCCAACCCCACCTCCGAAGGGGCAATACTGACACATCATCCAGCCTATAAAATAATAACAGTAATGATTATTGTAGCAACACAAAGCACCACTCACTGCATACTGCAGTTACTGAGTTTTATAACAAGAAATCATATTATTGGTATCAGCTGTTCAAAATAAGTGATATCTCTTCCCTCCAAAGAAAAGTTTTGGAGGGAAAAGCTCTGGACAAGCCTGAAGAGGCCGTTTGCTTCTCTTGGCAAAGGATTTCAAGTCTAAACTTTGTTTAAAGAAAACACTGGTATTTACATCACCACTGAATTTGGGTCTGAACAGTTAAATATATCCTATATTTCTATTATCCAGTTCAAATATGATATTTATTTCACTACTGAGAATTAAAAAGCAAGCATTAAATAACCTACTTATCAATAAAGCTAGATAACCCTTTGCTGGCTAAGCCATTCCATAACAAGGACTTTGAAGGGATAATACAACCTTTTAACAATAAACAATTAAATGCCTTAGACCAAGGCAGATAAAAATAAATTTAAATTCTGTTTTTTTCCACTAATGCTGAAATTTTAACTAGTTTTCTTATTCCCGTAGTAACAACTTGCATATATACAAAAGCAGTGCCAATAATTTTAAAAACAAGGGTTATTTTTACAGACGAACTAAATTCCATATATCTAATTGTGAGCTAGTCTATTACAACACACTATTGTTCAAATCAACCTGTAAAAAACCAAACAAAAACAAACACACAAAAAAACCCCATACCACAAAACCAGCCAACCAGCCACAGAAAACAAAAAAAAAACACCCTCACGTCCTCCCACCCATGAAAGTCTAAGGAGCAAGAACACCTGGTAAAAGTATTTGTTCATGTAACCAAACTTGTCTGATTAATTACATAAAAGAGCTTGAAAGCACTGTGCAAAAAAAAAAATATATAAAGGCCTCAGAAATACTTCAGCATATAAATAAACACATTACTGCACAGCAGATGAGAGATTTATTTTTTACCGTTATACTCTGATGCTCAATCCTCAGTTTTTCCACTCCTGCACCATATAATTCCCTTAACAAACACATTATTCTTGTCTTTTTTCCAGCTCCTGATGGTCCATACACCAACAGATGAGGGAAATCACCACACTGAACCTGAACACAAAGCAAGATGATCAGTTAGCTACAACATTTTCCTTATAATAGAGTATTAATCCTTCCATTCTCACCCAAGTTTACAGGGAATGACTTTTCCAGCTCAGTCACAACATAGTACCTAGAATTAGGACTGCTGAATTCCTCTTCAACAACAGTATTTCCTATATAATATCATATTTTTGGAAGACCATATGTAACTCATTTAACTCCAAACACCTCACCCCTCAGGAAACAAAAAACCAAAAGAAACTCAACAACAACAACAACAAAAAAACCCACCACACCCCAGTATTTACATGCCTTCCAGGGTTTCTAGAGCGACAGCTGCAATAAACACACAGTAAAAAGGATTAACACAAAGTTTAAAGCAGGTACACACGCATAGAATGATGTATATATATATGCATATATATAATTATTCTGTTGCTTCATTTGCAAGCCTTGGATGCGGGCAAACAATACAGTTAGCCCGTATTTAAATGAAGTCAGGAGTTTGTTTCTTGAAAAGCTAAAAAGCACGACCTGGAGACCACCTGACCAAACCCCCGTCAGAATTCACATTAGTTAAATACAACAGTCGTGGAGAAACACTGAGAGTGAATCAATCCAGCAGTCCAGTGAAGAGAGGCCAGCTGATCTGGCAGGGAAGCACTCCTGCAGCATCCAAGCAACTACACAGGTCTGACTTCTAGTCCCAGCTGCTCATCTTAAAAACTTCCGCTAACTCGTGTAAACACGGTAAGAGGTGTAAACGCCCTCAGATACTGATCGTTCTCAGCCAAGACCAGCAGGAAGCACAGATGCATATTGCTCCTGAAACAGTCAAGGCGCTCAATTCCTTGGGGCCTTTTCCCTAGCACAGAGGCCACGCTCCCGAGCGGGGCGCGATGCCAGCGCACGGCCCCGCCTTCCCCCCGGCGGCGCCCAGCCGGGAAGCTCCTCCGAAGGCCAGGGCCGGCACCGAGGGAACGCTCCCAGCCCCCGCCCCGCAGACCCGACTCATGGGCCAGGGAATCCCGAATCCTGGAAGATCCGCGCTGCGGGGAGGAGAGGGGCCCGGTGGTGGGCTCGCCTCAGGCGGAGGCCGCAGAGGCACCGGGC